GCAAGAAGTGCAGGTGTGGTGATGTGCCCTCTTCACCAGGGAGGTGGTGTGGAGTGACCAGCTGAAGTCGTCAGTGATGTGCACCCCCAGGAACTTGGTGCTACTCGACTCCCACAGCTGTGTCGTTAATGAGAAGGATGTGTGGGAGTGTCCGAGTCATCTAAAGTCAAATATGATTTCTTTTGTCTTATCGAAAAAAGAGATCATCTTTTGTCGCCTGACACCAGTCCACCTCATTGTGATCCTGAATGAGGCCTCCAACTTTAGTGTCAACAATGTTCTTAAGTTTGCTGTGGTACCTGGTACGGCAGTCATGTGTCATCAGCGTGAATAGCAGGGGGTTCAGGATGCAGCCCCTAGAGGAGCTGATGTTCAGCAGAAGATACTGAAAGGGTTGCCATCCACTCGGACAGACTATGGTCTGTTGGTAAGAAAGTCCAGTAGCCAGTTACAAAGGGATGTGTTGATGCCCAGAGGCTCCATTTTGCATACCAGGTCCTGATGGATGATGGTATGAAATGCTGAGCAGAGGTATAGGAACAGCAACTGTACAGAAGAGTCTTTCTTCTCCAGGTGGTCCAGGCTCAGATGGAGAGCAGTGGAGATGGCGTCGCCTGTGGAGCAGCGGTGCTGAAATGCAAACTGGAACAGGTCAAATGATGAGGGCAGTATGGAGGTGAAGTGTTCCTTAAACACACTTTTGAAGCAGGTTGTTAAGGTTGTTAAGCATTGTGATTGCTGGTTCCTTTGGCAACGGGATTATTATGGCTGATCCGAAGTACTGAGGGATGTTGACCTGTTGCAGTGAGATGTTGAAGATGTTTGTGAGCATCGGGTGGAGGGGAGGTCTTCCTCGCAGTGGTGTTGTTCAAATCTTCAATCCTTCTAAAGGAGTTGTTGAGCTCATTGAGGAAGCTGATGTTGTCCTGGCAGCATGTGGGTGGTGATGGATGTGATGATGTTCTGGATGCCCTGCCACAGTTATCAGGTGTTGCTGGAGTCCTGGAAGAAGCTTTGGATCTTCAGACTGTGGTCATGTGTTTGGCAGCCAGGAGACACCTAAAAGCCGAGATATACTCGTGTGTTGGATTGTTGCGCTGGTCTGTGCGAGCCCATAGAAGTGCTTTACACGTTTATAGTTCACGCACTACTTGCAAAAACCACAGAGGGGCAGTGATGAACAGAACAAGCAGAAATCTAGAAAAAAAAGAGAAGAAACAGTCGACCTACCACTTCCAAAATGTCCGAGTTCAGTAAAATTTATTTAAAAAGTTATGTTTATTAAAGAATAGTAGGTCTATTTATGGCAGCTACACAGAAATATATGGTGGAATAAAATGGTAGGTTTACCTGCTAAACACAGAGAGAGATGACAATGGGAAAACCAGCCACCCTGTGAATCCCATATGGACCTTTTTGTTTATCTAAAAACACATATTAATAAAAAAAAATGTTTTGCTAAATCTGAATGCAAAAAAAAAAAGCTGAATGCATTTTTTAATATTGGTAGTTATTTCAGACCTTATTTAAAAAAAAAAAAAAAGGTAAAAAGTATGCTGTATGTGATGGAGGCAGAAACTAAAACCCTTGTTTGCACCACAGGCTTGGCCAATAAACTCACCTGTATGCTGTAGGCCTTTTTTGTTGTTGTTTTAGTTTATTTTCTAAAATATATCTGTTGAAGGATGGTTAAAAAAGCAATGCAAGAATTTCATTTGTTCACATTTGTAGACTTTGTAATTTCTGTAATCATTTTGGCTTTTTGTTCCATGAAATGAGGGTAAACACAATTTTTTCTGTGAGTGTGTGTGGTGTGTTTGTAGAGAGACAGACAGACAGACAGATTACAAATAAATTTAATGTGAATAAAATGTTTCCTTAATGTCTACTTTCATCTAGGGGCTTTAGGTTGTTCAGCACCACCATCTCTGCCAAATGGAGAAACCAGAAGCACAAGATCATATTTTGACCATGGTGAACAGGTTGAATACTTTTGCCGGGATAACTATAATTTAGAGGGTGGCTCATATAAAATCTGTGAGAATGGTGAATGGAAAGGAGATATGCAATGCATTAGTAAGTCAATATTTTAATATGCATTTTTTTTTTTTTTTTTTATATATGATCTAAGTGCTGTTCTTT